CTTTCTACTTCTCTTGTGTTTATGGTCATCCAAAACGAAAACTACGACATATCTTATGGAAAAGACTCCAACGCATAGCACTCAAACGAAATGGTCTTTGGCTTATGTGTGGAGATTTTAATGAAGTCCTTAATGCAAATGAAAAAAGAGGTGGGCGTCAAAGAGAACCATGGAGCTTAGTAGATTTCAGAAATATGGTTCATACTTGTAGAGTTTCTGATCTCCCATTTAAAGGAAACAACATGACTTGGCTTGGAAAACGTGGAACATATGTGGTAGAGAGTTAGCTAGATCGAACTATGGCAAATGATCAATGGAGAGCAACGTTCCCGGCTTCGGAGGTAAAGTACTTGGAGATGGTAGAATCGGATCATAGGCCAGCAATAATTAAAATCAGAAAAAAGACAGATCAAGGCTTCAAACCTTTCCATTTTGACACAAGACTCTGCAAAATCCCAGACTTTGAAAAAGTAGTCTTTGAAAGCTGGAACAGTAACTTAATCATGGAGAATAGCTCTGTTGCAGAAAGGATTCAACGTTGCAGACGTGATATATCTACATGGAAGAGGGAAAACAATAACAACTCTGCAACTAGAATCAAGGAACTCACTCGAGCCATTGATATGGCACACACGGATAACTCTACTACGATGGAACAGATTCGTAGCCTTCGAAGAGATCTGTTGACTTTTTGGAAATTTAAAAGTCGTAATCAGTGGCTAAATGAAAGAGATTGCAACACTCGGTTTTTTCATGCCATCACAAAAAACAGAGTCGCACGAAATCGACTCACATCCATTGAAGATTTGAATGGCACAGAGTTTCACGGGAACAGAGATATTGCTACGAAAGCTATTCGCTATTACAGTGATTTATTCTCGAGTAATAACCACACTGACCCACATAAAACACTCTGCAACATTCAGCCGATTGTTACAGAGTCCATGAATCTGTCTCTAACCAATGAAGTTACTGATCAAGAAATCCGTGAGGCCCTCTTTTCTATCGGAGCAACCCGTGCACCAGGACCGGATGGATTCAATGCAGCCTTTTACCATAACTATTGGGAGATAGTTGGTCCAGCGATAGTAACTGAGGTACAAAATTTCTTTATCTCAGAGAAACTTCCAACTGAATGGAACCACACCAACCTTTGTCTAATACACAAGCTCAACCACCCAAAAACAATGAAAGATTTCTGACCCATCAGGTTGTGTAACGTCACGTACAAGATTATTTTGAAAATCTTGGTTAAGCGCCTCAAAAATGTGTTGCCATCCGTTGTCTCGGAAAACCAAGCTGCGTTTATTCCGGGTAGATTCATCACCGACAACGTCCTTATTGCGCATGAAATCATGCACTCCTCACGCGTACGAAAGCGGTGTGCCAACTCTTATATGGCTGTTAAAACAGACATAAGCAAAGCGTACGATCGTATCGACTCGTCGAATCGACTCACTCTCCTAACCTCAAAGGGAATCTGAGAAACAAGTAGATCGAGTGGAAATTCTTGGAAGAGGTCCTTAAGAAGAAAGGCTTTGCCGAACAATGGATAACATGGATCATGGAGTGTGTAAGATCGGTCTCCTTTTCAGTTCTGATCAATGGGAGCCCCTATGGATCCTTTAAAGCTAGCCGCGACCTGCGTCAAGGAGACCCTCTCTCTCCGTATCTCTTTATCCTCTGTGCTGATGTTTTTAGTTCACTATTGACAAAAGCAAACCAAGAA